AAAAAAAAAAAAAAAAAAAAAAAAAAAAAACCCAAAAAAATATGATACTTTAGAGCAGTTTTAGATTCACAGCAAAGCTGGGAGGACAGTACAGAGGTTTCCCATATACCTCCTGCTTCCAAACGTGTTGGGAAGTCAGAGCCAACTCCAAACCTCCTTAAGCTCGAATGTGGGCTCTTCAGCTGGATCTAGAAGCCAAATTGACGTGAAGCAGATTAGCTAGAGAAAAACATACACATTTCATTCTTTTTACTTGTCCACGGGATCTTCACAAGAGAGTAAAGTTCAAAGAAGTAGCCAAAGAGGCCGGGCATGGTGGCTTATGCCTGTAATCCCAGCACTTGGGGGGCCGAGGTGGGTGGATTGCCTGAGGTTGGGAGTTTGAGACCAGTCTGATCAACATAGAGAAACCCTGTCTCTATTGAAAATACAAAATCAGCCAGGCGTGGTGGTGTATGCCTGTAATCCCAGCACTTGGGAGACTGAGGCAGGAGAAATGCTTGAACCCTGGAGGCGGAGGTTAGAGTGAGCCAAGATCACGCCATTGTACTTCAGCCTAGGCAACAAGAGTGAAACATCGTCTCAAAAAAAAAAAAAAATGTAGCCAAAGAAAGATGCTTTATGGTAAGTGGCAAGAGGTCAGAGATAACCAGGTCTATGGGCATTTGTGTTTTTCTACATGGTCAGACTTTTATGGACACAGTCTCAATCATAAAAGCCATGAGCTACATGGCGTTCCCAAGGAGGCAATTCTCCTTAGTACTTTCACTTGCTCGGTAGCTAGAGCTGCATGCAGGCAGGGTCAAGCCACTCCACCCATCAATCAATACTGCAAACCATACATAATGTTACACTTAATCAGTATATAAATGTTACAGATTAAACGTTCTACAACAAAGTAACATTTTCCATCAAGAGAAGAGGGATAGGAAAAGGCTTAACAAACCAGCCCAAAGACAGCCATATAGGCAAAAAGAATATCTTGGTCTGGTCTGAGAGGTCCATAGACTTAATCAATATATAAATGTTACAGATTAAACATTCCACAACAAAGTAAGGTTTTACATCAAAAGAAAAGGGATAGGAAAAGGGTTAACAAACCAGTCATGGAGCGCAATATAGACAAAATAATATCCTGCTCTGGCCTGGGAGGTAGGTCTTGCAAGGGAAAGACTTTGAAGTGGGCAGAGCCTTTGGCTGGCAGAGGCTGGGTGTTTATCACAAGTGACAGCGAGATGGTTTTTTTTTGAGACAGAGTCTCACACTGTCACCCAGGCTGGAGTGCAGTGGCATGACCTTGGGTCACTGTAACCTCCACTTCCTGGGTTCAAGCAATTCTCCTGCCTCAGCCTCTCAAGTATCCCATGCAGCTGGGATTACAGGCACCTGGCATCATGCCCTGCTAATTTTTATATCTTTAGTAGAGGTGGGGTTTCACTGTGCTGGCCAGGCTGGTCTTGAACTCTTGACTCAAGTGATGCGCCCATCTCTGTCTCCGAAAGTGCTAGGATTGCAGGCATAAACCACCATGCCCTGCCAAGATGATATCTATTAAGATGGCCATTTAAGGCTGCTGAAGTCCTACTCTTTTCCTGGACACAGAGTCCCCTAGTAAGGACTGATAGTAGAAGAGTGTTCTTGGTTATGTCCATATCTGGATGCACATAGTCTTTATCGACTAGGCAAAACATCTGGTCCCTTTTGGCAAAGTGCTTTATGAAATGTAAGATGGAGGCTGGGTGTGGTGGCTCATGCTTGCAATCCCTGCACTTTGGGAGGCAGAGGTGAGCAGATCAGAGGCCAGGAGATCAAGACTATCCTGGCCATGGTAAAACCCCATCTCTACTAAATACAAAAAATTGGTGGAGTATGGTGGCATGCTCCTGTAGTCCCAGGTACTCAGGAGGCTGAGGCATGGGAATCACTTGAACCTGGGACAGGTTGCAGTGAGCTGAGATCGCACCACTGCACTCCAGCCTGGTGACAGAGCAAGACTCCGTCTCAAAAAACAAAAACAAAAACAACAAAAAAAAGAAATGTAAGATGGAGTCTTTTTCTAAGATGGAGTTACTTATGTCAAGGGTGGTCTATACAACTTTGCAGACACTGAACAATAAGCTTGAGAAGAAATAACAGGGCAAAGAAAATCAGAAAATCTGGCTGGGGCAGTAAATTTTCTAGGGAAGTCACTAGGAGATATATTGGGAGGGTGTAAAGATAGTGGAAGATAAAAGTTACTTCATTTAGTACACACACACGTACATTTAGGGTCTCACTGTGTCACGCAGGCTGGAGTACAGTGGTGCCATCATATCTCACTGCATCCTCAGTCCTGGGCTCAAGGGATCCGCCTGCCTAGGCCTCCCAAAACGCTGGGATTACAGGCATGGGCCACTGTTCTCAGTCCCTATCAAGTATATTTATTCAGGCCCATTGCAGCCTCCAATGCCCAGTCTCTAGTGATAAGGCCTATCTTCTTGCCCTAGTGTGGTGAGGGTACCCCTCACGGAGGAGTCTATGGCTTGCTGTATGCAGGAAGAGAAAGGTCAGCTAGGCTTTTTGGAAACTACAATTCCTCCAATGTTTTCAACTTGACATAATCAATGTACCAATCCAGCATATTTTGGGCTGGCATGTCCTTCAGTTCTTCACATGTGTAGCTCCCAGTTACGGACATTCCTTACCAGAGCGGAGCATTTGTTATAATTGATGAACCTACCTTGACACACCATAATTACCCAAAGTCCTCAGCTGACATTAGGGTTCACTCTGGTGTTGGTGCAGTTTATGGCTTTGGACAAACATATAATGTCACGTATCCACCATTACAGTGTCATACAGAATAGCTTCACTGGCTTAAAAATCCTCTTAAAAATCCTCTGTGCTCTGCCTGTTTGTCCCTCTCTTCCCTGTAACCCCTGGCAACCACTAATCTTCACTGTCTCCATGGTTTCTCCGTTTCCAGAATGTCCACACTTCTTTTTATTGCAGATAAATAAAGGTCTACAAGGCTCAAGCCACTTTTGGTCAGGAATTCTGTTATTTGCAGCCAAACACATCCTAACTGAATTATTTCCCAACTAGATTTTAAGTTCCTTTAGGCAGAGATACTGTATTTAATTTATTTGTATTTCTCATAATACTAGGGAAGACTTTCTTACATAGGGTTGGCACGAGTTTAATAAGTGAATGGTTAAAGGGTAATAGCAATCCAGTCTGGGCATAGTGGTTCATGCCTGTAATCCCAGCACGTTGAGGGGCTGGGTGGGAGGATCACTTGAAGCCAGGAGTTCAGAGGCTGCAGTGAGCTCTGATTGTGCTACTGCACTCCAGCCTGGGCAACAGAGCAAGATCCCATCCCTCTCTCTCTCTCTCTCTCTCTCTTTCTCTCTCTCTCTTTTTTGAGATGGAGTTTCACTCTTGTTGCCCAGGCTGGAGTGCAATGACGTGACCTTGGCTCACTGCAACCTCTGCCTCCCGGGTTCAAGTGATTCTCCTGCCTCAGCCTCCTGAGTAGCTGGGATTATAGGCATGCAACACCACACCCAGATAATTTTTGTATTTTTAGTAGAGACAGGGTCTTCTTTATGTTGGTCAGGCTGGTCTCAAACTCCTGACCTCGTGATCTGCCTGCCTTAGCCTCCAAAAGCACTGGGATTACAAGCTTGAGCAACCACCCCTTCCGGCCATGACCCCCATCTCTTAAAAAACAAAAAAGGCAATCCAAAGTACTTTGGCTCCTAAAATATGGTTCAGCTTGGCCATGGATTGGGTGGCCATCCTGTAGTCAGAGCCCACATTACAATGGCCTAATGAAACCAACAAATCTTAGAGCTGGAATGGACTATACAGCTCTGGGTCACTGGGCCCAACCCTCTCATTTTACAAATAAGGAAATAGATACACAGTACTTAATTGATATTTGTTACTGACAAGTGCAGTGCTAGGTCGCCCTGCTCCCAGGCTAGTAATCTTTCCATTACGTTATGCTTACTTATCTTGGCTCCTCCATCCCATCATAGCTCCAGGCTCCCCACATTAGTGCTCCAATATTTGTGGCCTAGGCCACCGTTCTGACTTTGAGCTACCAGCAAAGGCCAGCAAGTACAAGGAGCTTGCGTAAGCATTATCGTCATTTGGGAAGGAAATCTGGGGCTTTAGCAGGAGTTATAGTTATAGGGCAGATATGAACAAGATGGGAGCAGAGAGACACGTGGAAGACAGACCTGCATTTTCATTTATCAAGTTCATATCCTCTCAGAGAGACTCCAGAGGGTCAGTTGCCTATATTTCAGCCCTAATTCAGATCCTATTGTAATTGATAGGTTTTAGGATTACTCTGATGGTTAATTGTATGTGTCAACTGGGTGAAACACCAGTCTAGATGTTGTTGTGAAGGTATTTTGAATGTGATTTACATTTTTTATTTTATTTTTATTATTATTATTTTTTGAGGCAAAGTCTTGCTCTGTTGTCAAGGTGGAGGGCAGTGGCTCAATCTCGGCTCACTGCAACCTCCACCTCCTGGGTTCAAGCAATTCCCCTGCCTCAGCCTCCCAAGTAGCTGGGACTACAAGAGCGCACCACCACACCTGGCTAATTTATTTATTTATTTGTTTTTGTATTTTAATAGAGATGGGGTTTCACCATGTTGGCCAGCATAGTCTCAATCTCCTGACCTTGTGATCCGCCCACCTTAGCCTCCTGAAGTGCTGGGATTACAGGTGTGAGCCACCCCACACCAAGTGATTAACATTTAAATCAGTAGACTTTGAGTAAAGCAGATTACACTCCAGAGTGTCAGTGGGCCTTATCCAAGCAGTTGACAGCCTTAAGAAAAAAGACTAAGATCCCTCAAGGAACAGAGAATTTTGCCTGCAAGCAGCCTTGGACTTCAGCTGTAGCATCAACTCTTCCCTGGGTCTCCAGTCTGCTGGTCTGCCCTGCAAATGTTGGACTTGCCAGCACCCACAATCTCTCTCTCTCTCCACATACACACACCCACACCCACACCCCCATACACACCCTATATCCTATTGGTTCTGTTTGTTTTTTGGAGAGCCCTAACTAACAAAATTACCCTAAAGTCTAAAGATGTATGGCCATTTTACTCCTTATCAGCTGTTAGGGGAGATATTTACAACTGGTGGGGATGGCTTAGCCCTCAGACTCTGTCTCACTGGAGTCCAACAGAAAGCATGGAAAGAAATACAGTGCACCTTGACGGCCCTGTTTAAACAGCTCCTGGAGTCTTCAGCAGCCTGCCCTTAAAGAACCTTTTTTAAAAGGGAGTTTTATTTCCTCCTTGTAGCTTTCTGTCTATTCTATTCATCCTTCTGCTGTGGTTTGATTTTCCCACTCTTATGGGAAATCTGCAAAACAGCTGCCTCCCCGACACCCTAGACTTCTTTGTAGGGAGACAGTCAAGGGAATAATGACATGCCTTGGGAATTAATGGTCCATTTCTGTTCTTTCCCAGAGCTAATCACTGAGCCAGCTGTATAGGAGGCAGCAGGGGAGGTGCTTTAAAAATGCTCAGAGACCTGGCTTGAAGCAATGAAAAATTAATGTTACTGAGAGGAGAGAATTGCAGAACAGCCACTGCAGGCAGAAGTAGGATGGGAGGGGATGGGGCTGGAGGAAGGGGATAAAGTGGGGATAGGCCTGGGCCGCCTTATAAATAGCAACTCAATTACCTTGACAGCCATGAGACGGGACATAGGGGCTGCAGAGAGGGATGGTCCTGACTGGCAGTTTCTCTCCATGCAATGTGCAATCTGCACCACACTGCACTTCCTCATTGGTGTCAGAGGTAGTTAAAGGCCTGTGTTCTGTGACTACCATGGACACCAGATGAATAAGAAATAACACTAATCACTTCCCCACCTTGTGAGTATCCATGGAGAGGATGAGTGTTGAAGCACTTGAAGTTGCACCAACATCCATTTTACTTTTATCTTTGGTGCCTAGAAAAAACGAACTCCTTTTTTTCTCTATTAATTACCCAGCCTTAGATATTCTGTTATAACAACACTAAGTAGACTGTCAAAGTGTAAACAGGAATGTTTTTCTTCTTATGATTAAAAAATATGTAACTTCTCCTGATAAGCCTGTCCCAGAGACAAAAGAAAGCAGTCTGAAAATACAGGAGGAAGAAGGAATCCAGGGATATTTGGTAATCACATTTTAAGCTCATGCTTCTTACAAGGGTTGGAAAGAGGGGCCAGTTTATATTACTGTATATAATATTATATACAATAAAATTATATTACTATATACAATGAATTTATATATATATTGCATATATTACTATATACAAGAAAATTATATAGTGTATGTATAATTTCATATATAAATAATATGCATAATTTCATTTATATAGCACATATATATAAACTTTTTAGGTATATGTCAAGTTCAGCACTTTAAAAAAATTGTCACCTATCTAATGATCTCCACTGAGATTTCCTGAACTGTAAATTTAAAAAGATGTAGCTGTTGGCATGATTTTCAGATAAGAAGGTATAGGATGAGGGAGCCTCTGTAGGTGAGTTTTTGTGGATGGAGAGGCATATGGTGTTTTAGAAGTCTGTCAGGGGCACAGCAAGCCCTCTGTGTCTGCCCTCCTCCACTAAATTAAGGCTTCCATATAATATATAAAAATCCATTTGTAATCTATTTTTGGTTATTATTCTAGGGTAACTGGGATGATGAGTTACTGTTCTGTGACAGATCATTTTGAAGAATACTATTGCCTTTCTTCTCATTCAGAGTTAACAGGAAGTCTATGATGGGAAAGTTACTTTGATGAATTCAGCTGAAGCACTGACAACTCCCAGAGCTGTGGTTCTCAGTCAGAGACTATTTTTGTTCCCAGGGAACATTTGGCAATATACTGGGACCTCTTTTTGGTTGTCACAGTTGGGGCAGAGGTATCACTGGCATGCGGTGGGCTGAAGCTGAGAGCCCTGCCAAATGTCCTACCGTGCAGAGCAGAGTCCCCTCTGCCAAAGACTTATCTGACCCCAATGTAATATTGTCAGGGTAGAGGAACCCTGTACGAGAGCAAATCATGTCTTTCAAACCGGCCCCTCTTCCCAACCCTTGTCGGGAACATGATCTGAAAGTGTAATTATCAAACATCCCTGGATTCATTTTTTCTCCTTCATTTTCAGAGTTTCTCTTTTTTTTTTTTCCTCTGGGACAGCCTCATCAGGAGAAGTTACATGTTTCTTAATCATAAGAAGAAAAAACATTCCTATTTAGACTTTGATGGTTAGTCCATTTAGTGTTGCCATAACAGAATACTTAAGGCTGGGTAATTGGTAGAGAAAAAAAAAGGTTGATTTGGCTCATGATTCTGATGACTGGAAAGTCCAAGATTGGGCATCTGTATCTCAGAAGGGCTTCAGGCTGCCTCCACTCATGGTGGAAGGCAAAAGGGAGCTGCTGTTTGCAAAGATCACATGGCAAGAGAGGAAGTGATGGGGAGAGGGTGATATGGGTTGGATGTGTATTCCTGCCCAAATCTCATATTGAAACATAATCCCCAATGTTGGAGGTGGGGCCTGGTGGGAGGTGCTTGGATCATGGGATGGATTTCTCATGAATGATTTAGCACCATCGCCCTTGGTACTGTCCATGTGATAGTGAGTGAACTCTCATGAGAGCAAGGCATTTAAAAGTGTGTAGCACCTTCCTTGCTCTCTCTGTCCTGTGCTGGCCATGTGATGTGTCGGCTCCCCTTTCACCTTCTGCCACGAATGTAAGTTTCCTGAAGCCTCCACAGAAGCCAAGCAGATGCCAGCATCATGCTTCCTGTATAGCTTGCAGAACCATGAGCCAACTAAACCTCTTTTCCTTGTGAATTACCCAGTCTCAGGTATTTTTTATAGCAATGTGAGAACAGACTAATACAGGGGGAACGTGCCAAGTTCTCTTTAACAACTGGTTGTCTCCCAAGAAGTAACAGAGCTAGAGTGTAACTTATTCTCCCCTGAGCGAGGGCATTAATCTGTTCTTTTAAAAATGTTTTTATTTTTTTGAGACGAAGTTTTGCTCTTGTTGCCCAGGCTGGAGTGCAATGGCACAATCTCGGCTCACTGAAACCTCTACCTCCCAGATTCAAGCAATTCTCTTACTTCAGCCTCCCAGGTAGCTGGGATTACAGGCATGCCCCACCATGCCCAGCTAATTTTGTATTTTTAGTAGAGATGGGGTTTCTCCGTGTTGGTCAGGCTGGTCTCAAACTCCTGACCTCAGGTGATCCTCCTGCCTCGGCCTCATTAATCTTACCATGACGGATTCACCCCCATGACCCAAATTCCTCCAACTAGGCCTGATATCACCATATTGGGGATAAAATTCAACATGAGTCTTGAGGGACAGAAGTAAGCCATATCTAAACCATAGCAGATACTTTTAATCCTTATTTCTTTTTCACCTTTTGCTTTATCACCAAACTATCAAAAGAGCCATGCACAGGCAGTCTACAGAATCCAGGTCACACAGGGGTATGAACAGCGAGGCCTCCCAGGTGCCTGCTGTGGTCCTCACAGAGACCTTCTTGAGAACCCTGCAGGCCTGTTGCAGGGAAGAATCCCCTGGGGTGGGGCCTCCTTTTTAAGGCACTTGAACTTTAATGACTTGAAAGTTAACCTAAAGAGGCCAGGTGCAGTGGCTCATGCCTGTAATCCCAGCACTTTGAGAGGCCAAGGCGGGCGGATCACCTGAGTTCAGGAGTTTGAGACCAACCTTGCCAACATGGTGAAACCCTGTCTCTATCAAAAAATACAAAAAATTAGCTGGGTGTGGTGGCGGGTGCCTGTAATCCCAGCTACTGGGGAGGCTGAGGCAAGAGAATCGCTTGAACCTGGGAGGCGGAGGTTGCAGTGAGCCAAGATTGTGCCACTGCACTCCAGCCTGGGTGACAGAGCGAAACTCCATCTCAAAAAAGAAAAAAAAGTTAACCAAAAGCAAATAGTAGGAGACATTCAGCTTTTGTTTGAGTGCTCCCCTGGGTGAAGGGATACCCTGCTTCATCAAAATTGTCTAGACTTAGAAATTAAAATGTCTTCAAGGGCTCATAATAGGAGGAAGGCTGGTAAATTACATAAATTAAAATGTCTTTCTTCACATTGTTCAGGGCTTGGCATACTCAAGACCTCAAGGCCTTGCTTACCTATAAGCTTTCCAGAGCTGGAGCTGGGGTGAGAGAAAGTGAGGTGCCTAGTGTGCCAAGTTTAAGAAGTAAGGAGGCACTTCCTCAGGGTGATGCAAGCCAGGGTCAGTGTGGGCACCAACCTGAAAGTGCCCCAGGCACCTCTCTTGCTTCATCTGAGTCCTGATTTTGAGGATCTCCAAACTTTAGGAGGGGCCAGAGCTGCCTTCTATTACTGGAAAGGACACAGGAGGGTATAAAAGGCTTAGAAGACATTCCCAGGGGGCCAGAAGTAATCTTTTTTTTTTTTTTTAAGACCAAGTCTCACTCTGTTGCCCAGGCTGAAGTGCAGAGGCGTGATCTTGGCTCATTGCAACCTATGCCTCTGAGGTTCAAGTGATTCTCAAGCCTCAGCCTCCTGAGTGGCTGGGATTACAGGCATGTGCCACCACACCATGCTAATCTCTCTCTCTCTCTCTCTCTCTCTCTCTCTGTGTGTGTGTGTGTGTGTGTGTGTGTGTGTGTGTGTGTGTGTGTTTAGCAGAGGTGGGGTTTTACCATGTTGGCCAGGCTGGTTTTGAACTCCTGACCTCAGATGATTTGCCCGCCTTAGCCCCTCAAAGTGCTGGGATTACAGGCATGAGTTACCATGCCCAGCCGCCACGAGTAATCTTAAACCACGTTTTGTCTAGCTTTGGAGATAAACCCTAATCGGGTCTCTCTGTCTCAAAGTCTCCCCCGCAGCTCTGATGCAGCCTGTTTGTAGTCTAGGGTTATTTCACTTGTTCCGCATGATGTCTGTAGTATCTTTCCATTTCCAGATTGTTTATACTCTTCTTTTGGACTCTCCAAGTAGTATTTCCCTTTTGACCTTCTGAATCCTCATGTTTCTCAGTTTGCTCCTTATTCCAGGCAATTGCCAATGTGGTCAGCCTTTTGTTTTTTTGTCTCCTTGCACTTAATAATTTCTTACTATTTGTGGTAGACTGAATAACACGACCATCAAAGGTATCCATCTCCTGATCCCTGGAACTTGTGGATTTTACCTTATAGAGCAAAAGGATTTTTTGCAGAGAGGATTAGGTCGAGAATCTTGAGATGGAGAGATTATTTTAAATTATCTGGATGGGCCCTAAATGTAATCACAAGTGTCCTTATAAAAAGGAGGAAGAGGTAGATTTCATTATGAAAGTAGGAGATAGGACACAGAAGCAAGAGCTTGGAATGATTCAGGAAAGGGACATGAACCAAGGAATGCAGGCAGCCTTCAGAAGTTAGAAAAAGGGAAGGAAATGGATTCTCTTCTAGAGCCTCTAGAATAAACCAGCCCGCCAACACCTTGACTTTAGCCCAGTGAAACTGATTTTGGACTTCTGACCTCTGGAAATGTAAGACCCTAAATTATTGTTATTTAAAGCTACCAAATGTGTGGTAATATGCTACACCAACAATAGGAATCTAATATAGTATCTAGACATGGAGTATATAGTCTAGAAATGCATTTGCACAGTAAGTAGTGCAAATGCATTTCTAGACTATGTACTCCATGAAGGAGTCAGCATCACCTGGGTTAACAGTGTTGGCTCTGGAGCCGTCAAACCTGGGTATAAATCCTGGCTGATCCCTGTAGTAAATATTTGCTTGTCTTTGTCTACCCAGGCTTTTGAACTTTCTTCCTGTATGAGTCAGAACGTGTTAGTTGCCTTCCTACTGTTCATTTTCCATTACTAACAGCATCCTAATTTGTACAGGGAGATAAATTTTGCCATCTTAGAAATAATGAAATTTCAGTCTGGGTGTGGTGGCTCATACCTGTTATCCCAGCACTTTGGGAGGCCAAGGCGGGAGGATCACTTGAGCCCAGGAGTTCAAGACCAGCCTGGGCAACATAGAGAGACCCTTGTCTCAAAAAAATATTTTTTTAAATAAAAAATTAAAAAAATCATATTTTACGGTCTTCCTTAAAGCCACAAGCAGCCACTGACGTAGTTCTTGCCAAGTGATCATATCTGGAAGAGACTTCAGAGGGGGGTTAATAGGGGGTTAATTTGACTGGCATGCACCCTTGTCCTTTGACTTATCCTTCCTTCCCAGAATGCCACACACTAAGGATGGTGGCATGGAAAGAAAGATATATCTTGGGTCGCTAATGGAATTGTGAGGATGGTCTTCTAGTGCTGGACTGTATCCTCAGGCTTCTTGCTTTGTGAAAAGAATAGGGCCCTAGTTCGGTTAAGCCACTGTTTTTTGTATTCTGTTATATTCACCTTACAATTCGTTATTTATTCCACTTTTGTGGATCTTACCAATTTCTGTTTTTGATTCTAGTATTCTGGTACATTGTATATGTATCTGTCAACAGATTCTAAACCCCTGAAGGAGACAAATTACCAGCGGATAAAAATACAACTTCTGGAGTCCAAGAGACCTGGTGTATTCGTTAGGGTAAAGCGGTGCTAGGTGCTACAGGAGATAAAACTCAAATTCTTTGTGACGTCACACAATAGAACCTTATTTCTTCACTCATATGAAGTCGTTTTTAGTACATATTGCCATCTATGGACACAGGCTCTTACTTTCTCATGGTTCTTTGCTACTTAATCTGGCTAGAGTGTTTCGTGATGTACAGAGTTAAGAACTCAGAGAGACAGAGCTACTTACAAGATTGAGCTATAAGAAACTGGTGACACTTGAACATAAATACTGTCTACAAAATGGCAGTTTCACTTGATTAAACCTAACTTCACATGTGTGATTTTCAGCAAGGACTCTCTAAATTCATTTCTTCCAAGACCAGCTCAGCCGTGGAGACCCCAACCCAGGTGGCGCTGAAGGAATTAAGAAACAGACACAGAGATAGAAAGCAAAAGGTGGGCGATCAGAGTGAGGCATCAGGGGTATCCCTGAATATCCAGCTGAGAGCCCAGAGCAGACTCTCACCTATGTGTTTATTCTTTACTTTCCCGTGACAAGTTTTATAAGCGGATGCTCTGTGTTCTTTCATTGGTTAAAGGTAAACTAACCAGGCAGCAAGTGTATGTTTACTATAGGTTAAACACAAACTAGAAAGCACTGTTTAGAGAGAACAAAAGAAAGAGTCACGTATCCTGTGTTCAAAGAACTAATTCATCTAGTGTGAGACATCCATATTGGTTACTGTTTTGTAATGCTTTGAGCAGTTTTCCACTTTGAGGGGCTGACTAGGTTTTTTCCTTGCCGCTCTCAGCAAACAATATGATTTCTACACGTCAGAATTTGCTCTCAACAATTTCCTTAGCTATAAAATGGAGTACCAATACTTATTCCTTCCAAGGAGTTTTTAAAGATCAAGTAAGAGGATGTATGCAAAGAGCTTCGCATACAGCCTCAGAGTCAGTGACTCAAACAGTTTAGCTGTGATTTGCCCAATGCCTAGCACAGACTATCTGGTACATACTAGCTATTCTTTTTCTCCTTTTTTTTTTTTTTGCTATTCTTTAATTTTATATATGCGTGTATGTATGTACAAATCGAGATAGAATTCACATACCATAAAATTCACCTTTTTAAAGTGTACAATTCAGTGATTTTTAGTATATTCAAGTTATAACAAAGTTACATAGTCATCAGCACATTTTCATCACCGTAATCAGAAACCTCATACCTGGCTGGGTGTGGTGGCTCACGCCTTTGGGAGGCTGAGGCAGGCGGATCACCTGGGGTCAGAAGTTGAGTTCAGGAGTTCGAGATCATCCTGGCCAATATGATGAAATCCCGTCTCTACTAAAAATGCAAAAAAATTAGCTAGGAGTGGTGGCTTATGCCTGTATTCCCAGCTACGCAGGAGGTTGAGGTGGGGGAATCACTTGAACCCGGGAGGCAGAGGTTGCAGTGAGCCAAGATCACACCATTGCACTTCAGCCTGGGTTACAGAACAAGACTCCATCTCACAATTTAAAAAAAAAAAAAAAAAGAAACCTCATACCTGATAGCAAGACCCTGTCTCTATTAAAAAACGAAAAAAAGAAAAAAGAAACCTCATGCCCATTAGCAGTCACTTTAGCTTTCGAATGAATTGCCTTTGTTTCAAAATGGCTAGCACAGTACCTCGCTCATCGAATTCACTCCATATTTATTGATTTTATTGGCATCTCTTGTAGAGCTGACAAAACGTTTCTTGTTTATTCAACAATGGATAGTATGTCATTTAATTTGTCATTTAATATATATATGCTCGCGCGAGTGCACACACACACCCCCCCTCCCCCACATTTATGCTCACGGAATCAGATTCTCCCACACCAAAATAATAAAATGACAATAATAATAATATTGTTGATAACAATCCTGGTTGTGCATTTAAAAGGACACAAGGAGGCTACTGTGATATGAGGCTGTCCACCTCTGAGGGGATTCACAAGGAGACTGGAAGGAAGAGCTCCAGTTCCCACGTTCTCACATGCCATTACCTTCTTTCTCTCCCTGTTGGTAGTCACTGCAGCTCAGGTTGCTGAAAGAGAAAAAACTGAGCCAGTGTCTAAGAGGGCTCCTCGAAGTTCCTCGATTGTATTAATCTTTTGATTTCAGAACTTTTATAAATAGCACTTTTTTGAACACACACCAAGAAGGGCAAGTCAAAGTGAAAATAGCCCAGCTCTTCTTAGCTAATAATGCCTACTCTCTATACCTATTAGATCGGACAGGTTGTGTCATTTGATTCTGTTCAGAGTCACAGCTGTAAAAGCAGATGCATTTTTTTGCCTATTTGACATTCTTAAAGGAAAGTCATCCTGGAAAACAACCCAATTTAGTATTGATGTTACTCTGCATGGTTGATGGTTTCAAAAGATTAATGTTTATTTTGGTAACGGTTCATGGTTTTTATCTTTGAAACAGCCAGTTTCTCTTTTGCACCTGCTGTGGCTATGAGAGCACTGTGCTGGCTTGGGTCCTTCATTAAAAGTGTGAGCTGCTGTCAAGAAGAAATACTGTGTACTTCACTGAAATATATTTCCTTTTTATTTTATTTTTTTTTGAGACAGGGTCTCACTCAGTTGCCCAGGCTGGCCAGTGGAGCAATTACAGCTCACTGCAGCCTTGACCTCCCTGGATCAAGTGATCCTCCCACCTCAGCCTCCCGAGTAGCTGGGACTACAGGTGCATGCCACCATGCCCGGCTAAGTTTTGTAGAGATGGGGTTTCATCTTGTTGCCCAGGCTGGTCTCAAACTCCTAGGCTCAGTGATTCACCCTCCTCAGCCTCCCAAAGTGCTGGGATTACAGACATGAGCCCTATTTTAATGATATTAACTTCTAATGAATGAAAATGAATAGATACAAGAAGAAACACTTAATGGGGATGTAACTAATCCAATGGCAAAACATTAAAAGAGTAAATGATTAAAATAAAATTTACTGACCCAACAAACAAACAAAATAGAAATGAAAATGGTTCACTATTGGGTTCACTGTACATTATTCCAGTGACAGGTACACTAAAAGCCCAGACTTCAGCACTATACAATTCATCCATGTAGCCAAAAACCACTGAACACTTAAAGCTATTGACAATTAAAAAAAATATATCTGGGGTGGGCCAGCCAACTGGTTACATAGTCATCTGGGATCCCATGGATTATTTAACCTGACCTCTGATGGGAACAGGAAATTGAGACCCAGGGAGGCAAAATGACTTGTCCGAGCCTTGTTGCAGTCAATATCACTGTGAGTCTCTGGATCTAGCTCTTTAGCAACCTTTCCATGCCTCTATGCTGCTCCCCATGTATTAATTCTCTGAGAGAATACAGTTTGGGCATCTGTAACTCTTAGCTTGAATTCGGCCAGCTTACTACTTCTACTTGGCTCCTGATGTCTAGGACAGCCTTGAATAGGTTCAGAAATCATGTGGCAACAACATCCCCCGTTGATATCATGGTATATGGGTTACGTTCGCTAATCCAACTGGGATCAAATTCCAGCACTGCTACTTACCCGCTGTGTGACACTGGTGTCTTTGTGTCCTAGGACTGTAATAAATTGTCACAAGCTTTGTAGTTTACATCAACAGAAATTTGTCCAGGCATGGTGGCTCATGTCTGTAATTCAAACACTTTGGGAGGCCGAGGTGGTTGGATCACTTGAGGTCAGGAGTTCGAGACCAGCCTGGCCAACATCATGAAACCCTGTCTCTACTAAAACTACAAAACTTAGCCAGGTGTGGTGGCAGCTGCCTGTAATCCCAGCTACTTGGGAGGCTGAGACAGGAGAATTACTTGAAACTGGGAGGCGAAGGTTGCAGTGAGGCGAGATTGTGCCACTGCACTCCAGCCTGGGTGACAAGAACAAGACTCTGTCTCAAAAAATCAATCAATTGACCGATTAATCAATTAATCAACAGAAATTTATTATCTTAAAGTTCTGGAGGGTAGAAGTCAAAAATCAAGGCAGTGGCAGGGCCATGCTCCTCCTGAAAGCTTTAGGGAAGAGTCCTCCCTTGCCTCTGCCTAGTTTCTGGTGCCTGCCTACAATCCTTGGTGTTCCTCGGCTTGTGAGATGCATCCTCCAGTCTCTGTCTCTGTCCTCACGTGACCTTCTCCTTTGTGTCTCTGTATCCAAATTTCCTTCTGCTTTCTCTGGTAAAGACACCAGTCTTGTATTTGAAGCCCATTCTAACTCAGTATGACGTCATAATGTGATTACATCTGCGAAGACCCTATTTTCAAGTGTAGTCACAATCACAGGTACTGGGGTTAGGACTTGGGTAGATTCTTGGGGGCTTACAATTCAACCCACTAACTCAGGTAACTCCCTTCACCAATCTAAGTACGGTTTCTTCCTTTCTGTAATGGAATAAAACATCTCTCTTCTGCACTTAATGTGAACACGATGAGGTAACATGCATAATTGCCCAGCATATAGGAGGTGCTCTGCAGATGCTGCCAACTCCCCTTCAGATGTCTTTGTTCCTAAAGTCAAGTTAAATGTTTGCACATAGTAGCTATTCAGTAAGTTCGGCAGTTGATTGATTTTCTAAATCAGAAGGGTTAATGCCCAGTGGACTTTGCACCAGAGGACCCAGAGATCTGGCTATGCATTCTCTAAGTGTCTCTTCAAAAGGCAAGACTCTTTCATCCCTCTGGGAGAATCACTTTTGAGACACATTTACTAGTTCTACTTGCTTTCTCCTTAAACCGCCATGGGGAGCAGCATCTTTTCTGCACATCTAGGATTCTGCTTGGATTTGGCAGCCACTCCTTCTTGATAAATGTTATGAGGACAAAATCTCGGCTTTCTATGTGGAATTGACACAAAAACGTTTACACTATTGAATTAAGGCTTCTAATTTGGATTTATAGGTGAGCCCCTGGTCAGAATATTGAAGAATTAATAAAAACTGCATAAATGACCTAAAGAAATGTGAATTTGTATAGATTGTCTAAAATGGGCAAGTTTTATTAGAAAACTATTCTATTCAGCAGCATCCCTGGTAAATAAGAAAACAAACAAACAAACAAAATGGCTGGGTGGGGTGGCTTACACCTGTAATCTCAGCACTTTGGGAGGCTGAGGCAGGTGGATCACCTGAGGTCAGGAGTTCGGGACCAGCCTGGCCAGCATGGCGAAACACTGTCTCTACTAAAAAAAAAAAAAAAAAAAAAAAAATTAGCCATGCATGGTGGCAGGTGCCTGTAATCCCAGGTACTTGGGAGGCTGAGGCAGGAAAATCACTTGAACTGGGGAGCAGAGGTTGCAGTGAGCCAAGATCATACTGCTGCATGCACTCCAGCCTGGGCGACAGAGAAAGACTCAGTCTAAAAAAACAAACAAACAAAAAAAAAAAACAAAAACAAAACACCAAACAAACAAAACAAAATAAAACAAAACAAAAAACAAAAAGTAGAAGAGAGAGAAAAGAAAAGTATCCTGCAGAAGAACTGTTCCAATTCATAGGGGAAATATTTCATTTGAAAAATAAGTTTCAGGTCTTTAGAGAAAAGAAATTAGTAATTTTCTTTAGAGAAAAGAAATTAGATACTATATTTCAGCAGAATCTAATGTGATAGGTGTCTCTAGAAGTTTCTTTAAAGGCAAATTT